ATAATTAAATTTAAAAATTAAGATCTTGTATTGTGTTTATAACATCTAACTTGACCGAATAATGGAGTTCTTGATATTTATATGCTTAGCATTTACACGGTCGTAATTATTACTTATTTCTTAACGTAAAATCTTAACTTGACAATAAGTACTTTTTACGTAGGTGTAGCTGAATCCGAGATATTTACAAAAACCGTTAAAAAATTAGTTTTGTTTGAAAATAAGAGGAAACATTCTTAAAATCGTATCTCGGAAACTATTGGTCGTACAAGAATAAATAAAAAATGATTTTGTGTGTGTGTGTGTGTGTATAGGGAATTCAGTAATCTTAAATTTTCATAAGAGGTATGTAAAGATAGCCGAATCCAAGATATTTATGAAAAAAGTGCGAAAAATTATTTTTTTCTCAAAATTATTCTTTCACTTTTTACATTTTTTTCCCCCAAAATACAACATTCTTAAAAAAATTCTATCACGAAAAGCATTGATCGTACTGAAAAAAAAAACGAAATTGTAATTTTGGCAGCTCTCTTATTTCTTATAATGACCTTTATTTCGATAAAATCAATACTATCGAGAAATATTTTTGAAGAATCGCATTTTTGATCAGTTTTTTTGAAGCTGGAAAGTTTTCCAAGTAGACTAGCGGTCAAGACTTTTAGTATATGTTGTATAATACGCCATTTCGAACAACTTACCGCAAATAAATCTTTTATAGCAATTTTGTCTCCAAATAATTTAATTTTCCTGGACTATTTAAGGGTATGCTGGAGTTATCAAAATATGATTTATATTCGAATTGATTGAACGGAATAAAAAATCCTTTTACAGGATTAAAGTAGAAGCATAATTAAGAGGCGCGATTTTAGTGTAAAGTCCACTGCAGCATCAATTTCAATAAGGAGATTTTTATACGACTAATGTCCATAATTTGGTCACTCCAGCATCTCCTTAAAGATCTTGCAACATACATGTTATGTGGGTGAATGTCAATATTAATTAATACTGTATGCTATAGCAACAGAAAAATTATATGAACGTAAATACAGTTGGGGCCCATATTCAGAAGACGCTTACAACGATGTTAGCGCGTTAACACACTATATTTTACATTACGCATATTATCGAATTTCAGAGATAAAAGCGCGTTTTGAATACGAACCAGGGTATCCAATAATGACCGCATAATCTCTCGTGGGCAGGTAAAACGAATTAATTGTGAGTCGAAAAGTCCTTTACCATATTGCAATTTTTGCAATTTTTTTTAAGTTAACCAATGAGTAGAGTATTTAAAATCAGGGCATAAAACTTTAAGATATTTTTAAAAGTTTTTTTGAGAAATACCTGCAAGATATTTCATAAAGAACTCTGAAAAATATCATAAAGTTGTGTTACGCGTCGATTTTATCCTCTTATTTGGCAATTTTTAGGAATTAATATCTCGGTTAACTATTGCGAAAATGATAAGAGAAATTCGACTCAGTTTAGTTCGTACCTGCCCACAAGCTTATGCGGATATTATCAGACATCTTGCATGCATACAATTATATACGAGTATTGCACTAGTTTACAGTAAAACATATATTACTTAATTCGCATCGGGTTATATTTTTGAATGATGAAAACGATGCCAAAAAATTTCAGCGTTATAGGTTTCCAACATAATTAAGTTTTAATGTTTAAAAAATGACTTTGTTCTATGACATTTTACATTCTTTTATAAAGAAAGTTAACGTTATCTCGAAATGCTGATTTCAAGTTTTTGCTATATGAATGTATTGTTCACGTCCTATAAAATGCATTTTTTTAAATACATTTTGTAGAAGATGAACAATACATTTATGACTTTTGATTACAATTTCAAG